TTCTGCTGTACATGCGACAAACCTTGTGTATGTATGTATTTCTTCATGTTAGATGCAGGGGGCACCTGGGGCATGGAAGGGTCAGGTGCCAACGAAGACGCCTTTCCATTGCCTGTGATATCGGCTCTGGACGCAGAGCTGACGTACCTGCAAAAAGTTGGGCCCCTGTGCCAGCAAGATTAGCAAAACATGTTTCCGTGAAGGCAGGTGTTCAGGTTTTGATGACGTTGTCCACTTCGAGGCAAAACCAGGCATGGTCGTCGTGTGCTCTGGCACCGTTGCCATCCAAGCTGTGTGTAGGTGTGTGCGTGTGTTGTTCTTCCCATCCAACCCAGCCGATTTCCCAACTTCTCGAAAGATGAGGACGAGGAGATCAAGAGCATCCTGAGCAGGAAATTCACGAAAGCGTAGCGAGGCTTTCCTTACTATCTGCCACAACATTGGGGGTGGATGGCCGAAACCCGAAGTGATTGATTTATCAACCAAAGCCAACTCCCCTGCTCCTCCCCTTGCTCCCCCCCCTTCCCCCGCCAAGCCTACTCTCTCGTTGATGCGGTCGGATGTTGGCTGTGAGGGGATGTGATACGATGGCACCTCTTTTTCCCCTACGTTGCTGACGTTCTCTTGAGTCCCTCCAGCCCACGGTGCACAGCTTTCGTTCCCCAACCCCACCCTCAAGTTTTACGACTGCGCAATCTAATCAACACAACAAAGGTCCTGTGTTTCGAGCATTGATCACCAGAACAACATGGGAAAACGGATTCAAACGTCACCTCCCCCCGATAGCAGAGGACATTGCGCATCGCACAGTGTGAGCACCTGTTTCTTCCCAGGACAATCATGCTGGTCTGAGATGCATGTTCAACAGCCTCTTGCTACTGCTGCTCTGGGCTAGACATGCCGAGGCGGAGAAGGACCGAATCTTGGACGAAATGGTGGCCTGCCTGAAATTTATGCGGGGCTTCAAGCTCGACTTCAATGCGACTGTGTGCAGACGGTGTTTTCGGCAGTCACGCAGACTTTAAGCTGAGAGTGAAGGCGCTGAAGCCAAACGGTGACCGGACTCGAACTTCGGCGGCCAAGCCTCGAGTCAAGGCACATCGATGTGGCTGAACAAGAAAGGAAGATTAGTGCAATGTCCCCCCTACATTACGGAGCTATATCTTCTAATGGTTCTAGCTCAGATTCTTGAGTAGTGAATCGTTGTTCGAAGCGAGTAGTTCCGGTGGCAGTGGCAATTCTTCGTTGCCGTGGTGGTGGCGGAGGTGGTGGTGATGGCGGCGGTGCTGGTGACGGTGGTGATGCAAGCACTTGCATAGCTGTAGCAACAGTCAGTAGTAGTAGTAGTAGTAGT